CAGCGGAGGCTGTGCAGTATGCTAAGAGCTCACATCTGAGCTGTGAAGATCTGGTCCTCTGTTTTTCATTTTGCAAGAGGCGGCAATGACATGAATTAGTAATGTGTACAGGAAGCTCGAGAGAATACCTTTCTAGCAGAGCTTCTCCTTATCTGCCCCATTTAGACTGCTCTAAGAGCTCAGTTTCTGATGCCACCATCATTCTCTTCACATTTCTTATGAACACCCCTGCCATGAATCCTCACCCCATGCTCCCTGCAACCTGTTTATATCAAGATCTTCATCACCATCATCCTTCTTCCTAGATGCACCAGGAGCACAGTAGTTACTGTTCTGTCCCTTTCCTAGGCTTTCTCCTCACCCTGAAATGACCTTGGCATCGCACAATTGGGGCAGGAGTCTGGTTCTTGTCGTATGGCCCATGTTTCAGCCACTGTAAGTTGTCATCACTGTCAGAGTCTCCACCCTCTCTGCCAGTTACATAAGAGGCCACATCAACTACTGCTCCCTAGCACAGGCTTTTATTAAACATACACCGTGCAAGAGGCCAAGTGGGCAAGAGGTCCATCCGGAGCCACGTCTCCTGGGGACGGGGTGGGGGGGTTGTCAGGGACTATCTCTGGGTCTTGGCCCCCGGAATGACTCAGCTCAGCTCTCTGCCTGCATCTGCAGCCTTCAGAACCAAGGACGACATGTTATGTTTTCAGCTCACAAGAAGCAAAAGAGCAGCAGTCCTCTCAAAATAAGAATTCCCTTGCTGTTTGTTTCCTTTTGGAACACAATAAGAACAGACCGAGGACATGACTCTGAGCTGTCAACGCTTCCTCCCAGCTTCCACCGCACCTTTCCTTTGCCAGGAAAAAAAAAAAAAAAAAAAGCTGCTGAAGTTAAACAAGGGCTTAATGAATAGTCAAAATAATTGTTTAGCTTGGATATAAGGTCTTTGGTAAACAGATGATTGCCGAGACCAGGAGCCAGTAAAAGCAACTCTGCAAGACACCACTTAGGTAACAGCCTAGTGGTCTCAGCTTCTCCAAGGACTGTCCTTACTGAGCTTTTTTCTCACCAGCGTATTGGAACAATTTAGCATCAGAAGGGTCTCATGGAAGCAGGAGGAAGGAACAAAAACTTTCTTTATATGGAAATACATGCTTAAAACATCCATCTTACTTCCTTAGGGCTTCTATTAAATAGAAGGCCCATGACAGGGCATGTTCCACTTACTTTATTCAACTTCTTCATGTTAAAAATGTTCTAAGATGCATAGTTAGCCCACTTACTATTGTCCTGCCTCCTGCCTGACTAGTCTTTAACATGGTTTAATCTTTTCTGAAAATAATTATTTTCCACCTTACAATCAAGATGTTTAGGAGTAATCAGCTTCTAAGGCTGTGGTTGTAGCTGTAGACAGCATAAGCTCTGAAACTGAATCTTTCAGGTATGGTTTTTGTTATTCGTTGCTGCTGCTGTTGATCTGTTTGCTTTCTGCTTTTTTATTGAAGTTACTTTGTCATCAGTTTGCTTGGTGCTGTCTCTTTTCCTCAAAGGTGGGGTTCATCATGAAAAGTCTGCTTAACTGAGAACTTAAATAAGTTAATTACAAGCTATTATCAGTTCTACCGAATAATATTTTCAGGAATTGCTTGCTCTCCCATACTTGAAAGTAATGGATACCTTGTTGATCCAGAACAGTATTTAATTATCTTATCTACACAGACATTTCCACTGAAATGCTCTTTGAATAAACAACCTCTATTGACTGAATCTTGAGTTTGTCAAGGTGACAGATTCCCTGGTATTCAGCTTGCAATAATTATTATGGCTGTATATTTGGTTTGCCCCCAAATAGCAATCCAAGCACACATTGAGCAAGAAAAAGGTAATACTTAACAGTTTATGTAGTTTTTAATGCTGATAGTATAGGGAAAACATTAAGAACATGGTTCTGGTCTATGGCCATACCACTCTGAATGAACTCAATCTTGTCTGATCTCAGAAGCTAAGCAGGGTCGGGCCTGGTTGGTACTTGGAAGGGAGAACATAAGTTTGGAATCGATTTCTGAATTTAAGTTCTGAATTTAAGCACAAGCTCTTATTAACCTGTATGAGTTTTGACAAAGTATCAAATTCCATTGGCTTTGGTTTCCTCAGCCATAAAATGATCAAATGATGATAATAATTCTAACTTTGGGTTGTTGAATTAATATGAGATAATACATATGAAATGCTCAGCACAGTGTAAGTATCCAATAAATGTTAATCATAATATTTTCACACACTGTAATTTCCTCACAATACTTTGTGCAGTGGGCAAAATTGCTGTAATTATGTAGGCTGACTATTATAAAACTGGACTTGGAAGTGATTACTGATTTGTCCAAGGTTACTCAGTATAAGAGATGCCAGTCCTATCAGTTCAGGATTTCTAATGTGTTGTCTTCTCACCCACTACCATGTAGTGCCCTCTCCAGTGTCCTTGAATCTAAAGCCTTTTATGGCAAGGCACATCTCTGCCTCACATTCTCAGATAGACAACAGGAATAAATCCTATGAGATGTTTTTAAATCTACATCAATATCACTCAGATGTTTTCTGAGAAAGTTACCCTTGTAACTACAAAGTCAAAAGCAACTCTTTGAATTGTGAAAGAAAATACCAAGATAGAAGTAAATTCAAATGGCAAGCCTGGAACTTCTAGAAGAAGTCCAAGGGATGACAGCAACAGGTCAACAAACCCACAAGCCCAGCCAATGTCATAGACCAAATTCCTATAGTCTCCTCTACGCACAGAATTTTAAAGTACATTTCTATCTTACATCATTATAAATGATAAATTCATTTATCATCAGCACAAAATGAGCAATGTTAGGAACATAACATTTTCCTCACTGGCTGCTACAAATACAACCTCTATCATGTAAGGGTCTAAGATTTTGTTTTTGTTTTGTTTTATTCTGAAAACGACATCTACACACTATAAGACTAGACATGGATGGTGTTGAGTTGCAAGAACCATGATATGAGGTTAAGAACTTAGATTTAATACTAGCTCTGGAATTGCAAACTTAAGACACCATTGACTCAGGAAACTCAAGGAAGATCAATAGATTGTTGCTGAGTGTTCTTTAGGGCCTGAGCCCTTTGCCGAGGCTCTAGTGTAAGTGGTAATCTTTAGCCTTTCTTTCCTGAGCCACTGTATTTTTACTTATAAAATAAGGAGACTAACCTCGCTAGGCTATTATGAACATCCATTGAGAGAAACAAGAAAATAAATCTATGATGTTTTTGAAAGTATTTTCTAAAATTGTGAGGATTGCAAACATGGGGCATTCAAGACAACTATAAGGAAGGAGAACACTAACTTTGAGTGACTTTTGCTCAACTATTGACTCGTGTGTGTGTGTGTGTGTGTGTGTGTGTGTGTTTGACACAGGGTATTGCTATGTAGCGCAGGCTACCTTTGAAGCCATGATCCTCCCTGCTTTGGCCTCCTGAGTGCTGGGATGATGGCATACCACATGGCAGCAGATTATACCCACACCTTTAAGCTTTTCATCTGTTCCCTCTTCCTACTTTCTTTTACCTCCATTTAAAATAAACTTATCTCTTTTTAGTCCATAAATTGTAAAAGCCTCCAACCAATATCACAATAAAATATCAGACTGTGCAAAGGAAAAGAAATAAGTCACTAATATAAAATCCAAAGCAGAGTATATTCCAAGAGTTCACAGTTTGCACTTGATAACCCCAAGTACATTCTGTGAGGGATATCTTAAACATTGTCAGTTGCATAGGTGGCAATGGTTAGAACTGTTACTCAGGCCTGGTTCACTCCAGAGGTTAGAGAGCAAAGAAGACTGTCTCTCCTCTCTGCTCCCAGGCTGAAGACCCAGTGCTAGAAGGTCTGGGAAAAGTGGCTTACAAGAGTGCCCTATTAATAGCTCATGGAATTGATAATCCAAGAGACTTCTGTGACTTGGTTCTTCCAAAAGTACACTACTTCTCATGGATTCTGCATCTCCTTGGATTCTATGTGCCGTGCTGAATCTTGTCTCCCTCTGTGGGATAATCACTCAGAGTCCACCAAGGACCAGACGGCACAGAAAGCACAACAGAGAAATGCAGATCACACAGTGTGCACGGCCCCTGCCTTACAGGAGTCCGGAGGACTCATGCCCACATCCACTGCCAAGTAGCCAGTGTTATTTTATAAAGTCTTACCTTGGCACTTGGAAGCAAGTCCATTTCATTTGATAAATAAGACCACTGAAACAGAGAAAAATGTTTCCCAAGATGCCACATGTAGCAAATGTCCAACCCGGGTTTCTCCAAGGTCAACTCTTATTCTAAAGTTCACACTGGTTCCACTCTACTTGGTTTCCTGCCAAGATTGAGAAGGCAGGACAAACATACCAAGAAGGAAAATGAAGTCAGCTATTAGAAAAAGCCTGTGAAGAAGTAAGTGTTGGAAACACTACAAGCTGTGATAGATGCAAGGGTGTCAGAGGATCTGAGGTTCTTGGAGCTAAAGGAGCAGGTTCTAACCCCATCAACCTAGGGGGAAAAGGGGGCGAACACCAGTCAGAAATGACTGTGCCTGAACCACAAGAAATGACTGACACTCATTACATCTTCTAAGAACAAAACTCTAACCCCAGCACACCATTCCATTCATCTGTCCAGGCTTACTCATTTAACCTTTTAGCCCTAAGAAGAAGTATAAAAGGATTATAGAAACTTTGTAAGCTGTTGAAATTTTCACAGGCCAGGAAAATATAAGAGAGTTGTAGTTGATTTGTTGCAGCATTGCCAAATCCATTGCATTCAACATTTTTTAAGCATCCCTTCCCACCTAGCTCTCTCTTCAGTGAAAAGGAATCCTTTTTCTCCCAACATCTGGTGTTGGTGCTGTTGACATAACTAGTTAAGAGGATTTACTGAGGAACGTGATTACACTTGGCAATACCTTCAAACATTTGTTTGGATTTTCTGTTTTCTAGGAGATGTACGACTAAGGGGTCAGACCGGGGTTCCTGCCGAACGCCGCGGCTCCTACCCATTCATTGACTTCCGCCTACTTAACAGTGAGTAACTAAGTGTACCTAGAGAGGATCAAACCCTTTATTCAAAAAGAAAAAAAAATCCTCATTTCCCTATGAATTTCAAAACCTCGTGAGGTCTGCCTTCCTTCCTCCACCTCTGTCTGCTCAACTAGAACGTAAACCTTTGTCTAAAGTTCTTCACTCATGAAGTAATTTTTGGCCCTGTCCCAACTCCATCACATTGGCTTTGAAAATGCAAACCATCACAACTGTGAACTTTGTACAGGGAAGGTACTCATTTCATCTTCTAGCACATTCTCTCCACCTGTAGCCAGAACTGGATTAGAGGAAATGTTGTTTGATTTTTAAGACTCCCCAGGGAAATATACTTGAGTTGCCCTCTGAGACCCTGTGTTACCTAATTCTCTCTGCACTGGCTACTCTAAAGCCTTAAGGTCTAATCTCGCCTTCTACAACTCTTCACTAAAAGGGAAGTCCTTTTCATCTGCGCTTGCTTCTTCCTCCACTCCCTCTTCCACTACTACTTAGTCTTACATTCCTTTGAAAACTCAAACCAGTGACCAGTCACCCCCTCCAGCTTTCATAACTTATATTATAATGATCCTTCACCTTGGATTTGGGGTGGGTGGAGGGAGGAGCCAATAATAAACTTCACAATTTGCCCCAAGGCTTTTGTATTTGGTTCACATATCACTCCCCATCTATAAATTTCAAAGTGCTGGATGGTATCCACAGGGTATTATTTTCCTTTGACATAAACAAGCTCAGTGCAAGAGGTAATTTGATTTACCTTGACCCCTGGAAATGACTAGGAAAAATTAGAACTTGCTATTTCTGATTCTTAGATCCTTGAAAGACCAACAGAAGATGGACATGTTTGTGTTTCTGCTAGCCAGCTGACCTCGCCTATCAATGTGCAGTGTCTGTTTTTTAGCTCTTCTGAGGATGTAGGGACTTAGAGTAACTTTTTCCATGCTAGAGGCAAACACCCCCAAAATCACTTTTTAAAACTCAAAACTGGGGGCTGGAGAGATGGCTCAGCAGGTAAGAGCACTGACTGCTCTTGCAGAGGACCTGGGTTCGATTCCCAGCACCCACATGGTGGCTATGAACCCGTCCTTAACTCCAGTTCCAGGGGAATCCAAAGCCCTCTTCTGACCTCCACGGCATTGCATGACACGGGTGCACTCACATACGTGCAGACAATACACTCGTACACATAAAATAAAAATAATAAATAAAACATTTTTTTTAAAAACCTCAAAACTGAGCCACCACTAAACTAATGCAATATTGAAAGCAGGCTGTGGGAACTTCAGTGGTACCTCTGACCTCTCTTTATGACCCCAAATGAGCTGTTTTAATTCCCCATGGAAGTTACAACTTTGGAAGTCTCCTGAGTGTTATAAATTTCTGAGTCCCAAGTGTGTGATTTCACAAAGCAGTAGTTGATTTATCTGTACCAGAACTCCCAATAAAGTTGCAGGGAGAAAAGAACCAAAAAGCCTCTTTTCAACAGTGGATAAGACATTGTTAGCAAATGAGGAAAATGGGAGATATTTGTCTTTAAAATGCCAACGTTCTAAATGATGTTCAATTCAACCCCAAAATACATATAGCAACACCACTGTTAATTGTGATGGTCCCTGAAATTGGGACATGGACTATTTAATTGTCTACAACATGGGTATTTGGATGTAAAAGGCACTTGGATTTTTATTTTATTTTAAAATTTATTTTATTTTATGTGTATGAGTGTTTTGTCTGTATGAACGCATGTGCACCATGTGTGTGCCTGGTGCCCACAGAGACCAGAAAGGGGCATCAGATCCCCTGCACCTGGAGTTACAGGCAGTTGTGAGCAATCACACGGTGCTGGGAATCAAACCAGGTCCTCTGCAAGAGCAGTAACTGCTCTTAACCCCTGAGCCATCTCTCCAGCTCCATACTTAGATTTTAAAAATAATTTAATTTTATTTTTAATTTGAAGAAACACTCCAAATACACATAAATGTAAAGAGAAATCTGTCATAGGCAATGATCATCACTAGTCACTTGACATATTGAAAGACAGGCTGCAAGCAGTTGTCATTCTGCTGGAGATCCTCAAGGAGCCTCCAGGCATCTGGGCCCTATCTAGTCTCCCCTTCCACCATCTGCCCTGTACCTTCATTTCCCTGCACCTGGTGCTCAGGGATCTCCGCTCCTCAGGAGAAAATATTGGCCACCTGAAATTCTCTTTCCATTCTCCTCGAGGCTCCATGCTAGATAACTCATCCTTCTCTCTTTATACAGAACATAGACTGAGGCAATCCTAATTTATCTTTATCGTTTCTTATTTTATAAGTGGTGTCAGTGTTTTCCTGGATGTATACGATATACCCCTGAACAAACTACAGAGGCCCTAAACTCAACAACTCTTTATAGTTTCTAACCACTCAATCCTATACAGTTAATTTACCTATTATATTAGAGAGTCCTTTCAAAAAGATTGTATTAAATACTTGTAAATGGGAGTCATCCACTGCATTTAACTGACAGTACAGATGGGTCTGAAGAACAATGAGATGCGCCTTATTCATGATACTATTCAGTCCTCTCTATAGTGCCTGCATGTGCCCTGTAAGTTGAAGCTAGACTCCTTACCATTGCTATGATCACCTCGAAGTTTCCTAATTTAGCAATTACAGCAGCTTGTCATCATGTAAAATGCAGTCACATAAGGTATTACACATGTCATAGCTGTACTTTCTTATATAGTCTGCCACCTGTTTAATTCTCTTTCATCTCTAGATGACCTTGTTAAGATTTGCCTAAATAGATAAAGATGTGGTTTCTGTCAAAGGGAAGCATTTTGAAAGTTTCTTCTAAAACTCTTATTTTGGGAAACTAATTCCAATTCTGCACCATAAGTGGCAAGCTAGATTAACATATTCTTTTGCATATGTGTGTATTTTTGTCTGCATGTTTGTGTGTGTACATGGGGGGTGTGGGGGAAAACCAGAAGTCAGTGTGAAATGTTTTCCTCAATTGCTCTCCACCTTTTTTTGAGATAGTCTCTTCTCTCTCTCTCATAATTGCTTACTAAATCTATTTCCAAACATTTCCTCCCATTCTGTCTTCTCTCTCTCTCTCTCTCTCTCTCTCTCTCTCTCTCTCTCTCTCTCTCTCTCCCCGCCCCCCCCCGGAGTTTTCTCCAGATTTGGCTAGACTGACTGGCCAACAAGCCCTAGGAAGCTTCTTGTCTCTGCTTCCCCAGTACTGATACAACAAATGGGGCCTACTGTCCTAGGTTTTTACTGCTTTGCTGGAGATCATACTTGGTCTTATTCTCTGCACATTTCTGGGTCTGTGTTCATTGCCATCTGCTGTAAGAAGAACTGTCTCTGGTGAGAGTTAAGTGATATACAGTCTATGAGTATAACAGTAAGTTATTGTGAGTTAGTTTAATATTGTCTATTGATGGTAATTTGTCTAGACAGGTTCTGGCCCTGGTAACAGTGTGAGGTATGGATTCCCTATTGTGAGGTGGGTCTTAAATCCAATTAGAAGGTGGTTGGTTTCTCCCATAATATTTTGTGCCGCTAATACACCATTGGGCATATTTTGCCAAGCCAGTTGATACTGAGGCTTGTAGGAGTCATAACTTGGTAAGGTTGATGATTACCTTTCTGTCAGTAACATGCATAGCACCTTCTAATACTGTGAAAGCTAGCCAGCAGAGGCGTAGCTTCAAGGTCAGCCAATACCACCTTGATTTCTCCTTGTTTGTTCTGCAACTCAGGTATGTAATGTCTTCAGCAGTAAGGTCTTACCATCAAGTTCTGGTGGAAAACTAAGTGCAATGGCAATAACCAGGACTGTTTGAGGATTTTGGGGATCTCCCTGGTCAACAACTCTAAAAGGAGGAGTTCATTCCTGACATTGGGCTTTGCATTTTCTAGCCTGTGGCATCTATTAGGGCCATTGAATCCTCATATAGGGTAACTACATTTAAACTCTTTTCAGATTATATGCGTATGTATTTAGAGAAGCGTCCACAGTAGGTTTCCACATGACGCTTTCAAAAGACTTATGTTAGTTAACTCTCTTCTTACGCCCTCTTGTGCCTTACCCTCCTATTTCCTACCCTATCAAACCTGTCCTATTTATTATTCCTTTCCCATTTATATCACAGCATTCTATCTCCCCTCCTGTGAATCACCCACCCATGGCAACTTATTAGTTTCCTAATCTCTTAAGTATTTTCCAATTGAAATACCCCTAACTAAAGATTAAAAGTTAGTATCCACTTATGAGAAAGAGCAGGTAACATTTGTCTTTCTGGTTCTGGGTTACCTCACTCAGAATGATTGTTTCTGGTTCCATCCATCCATTTACCTGTGAATTTCATAATTTCATTTTTCTTAACAACTGAATGATATTCCGTTATCTACTCACCTGTTGATGGGCATCTAGGTTGTTTCCATTTCTTAGCTATTGTCAAGAGAGAGGCAATGAACATGAATGAACAGATCTCGCTGTAGTAGGATAGAGTCCTTTGGGTTGTGCTCAAGAGTTGGTATGACTGGACCATGTGGAAAATCTACTTTTAGCTTTTTGAAGAGCCTCCACACTGATTTCCGCAATGACTACACCCGTTTGCATTCCCACTGGCAGCGAACAAGTGTTCCCCTTTCCCCACACCCTTACCAGCATTTGTCATCATTTGTTTTGTGGGTCTTTGCCATTCTGACTGGGGTAAAATGAAATCTTAAAGTAGTTTTAATTTGCATTTCTTTAATGGCCAAAGATGCTGAACATTTTAAAGTATTTCTCAGCTATTTGTGTTTCATCATTTGAGAATCCTCTGTTTAGTTCCTTGCCCCAGTTTTTAATTGGGTTTTTTATGTTAAGTTTTTTGAGTTCTTTGTCTAACACAGGCAGTTTTAAAGAGATTTAGAAGGGTTTTATGACATCTCCAAGGACTCATTCAGTCCAGTCTATTTTCTTTTGCTAATATATTATTTTCTTTCCAGTTT